GTTTCTAACCTCTTTTTAAATTCATCTTCTCAGTCATACCTTTCTTTGCGTGGGGTACAATTTTATCTCCAGAAACAACCCTCCTAAAGCCATTCAACATACTGATCTAAGCTAAATTGATTACCATTTTTCTTTCCTTCAGATTCTATTATTTCTTTTTCCACATCATTGATTTTCCTTAAACATCAAGTGATCCTTGGTTGTCTATTAGTAATGAAGAATGAAGACCTGTCTCAGTTTTCCTAGGGCACTAGTGTGAGTCTCACATGCTTTTGTGTAAGTCTCTCATTTTTCTGCTGTCCACACTCACAAGTGGAAAGATTGCGTTGGAGCTTTATGAAGTAGGTGGCATAAATTAATTAACAGGCTTTCTCAGAGTGGGGTATGGTCAGGTAGCCATCAGTTAAACAAGGCATCTCTCAAATGCTAAAATAAGAGGGTTTTTACTGTGGAGTGCCAAATCCATACTAGAACTAGCTTTCCCAGAGAGTTTATGTGAATTTTTTAAGGAAATAAGTCTTCAGGATTTGTTTGTTTTATGCCCAACAGTAAATATCCATCTACCAGCAGATTTTTGACTAATGGTAAATATCTACTTGCCTGCAGCTCTGGAACTTGAAGTGACAGTGGAGACAACTGGCACAGCTATTCCATATACAGATCTTCAATTAACCCTGTTGTCTATAGTCATTCTCTTTCCAGCCCTTTTAAATTGCTAAATCCTAATTGATATCCTTTCTAGGGTTCCAATGACAAGCCAGCTCTCTCACTAGAGCCCCTTTGAAGTGTGTCTAGGCAGGCCTTTTACATAGTTATTCCCAACAGGATACGACCAATTATTTTTGATTTTCTAGAAATAAGATAAAATTTCTTATTTGCTCATGAACTCCCTTCTCTATGTTATGGGTTAACTTTATATATATTGTCACTTCAGTTGGGTTCTAGAAGGATAGAAGGGAAAATGTGTGCTCAGTCTACCATCTTATTAAAATACACACATACACAAACACACAGTTGTTTGTAAACCTGTGCATGTGTATGTGTGTACATGGCTTCTCTATTGAACTGCCTTAAATGCAAGGATGTAGTATAGAAAATATAAATATAGTATATAAAATACCTAGTACACTGTCAGAAACATAACAAGTATTCAAAGGTATGTGACTGATTTGATTTGAATGTAGAGGAAAAGAAGTTATAAATGAAGTTACAAATTTAAAAAGATACATACACCCCAATGTTCATAGCAGCATTATTTACAATAGCCAACATATGGAAGCAACCTAAGTGTCCATCAACAGATGAATGGATAAATAAGATGTTGTGTATAGCTACTGTGGAATATTACTCAGCCATAAAAAATAATGAAATAATGCCATTTGCAATAATGGACCGAGAGAGTATTATGTTTAGTGAAATAAATCAAAGATAAATACTCTATGTTATTGCTTGTATATGGACTCTAAATGGTAAAACAAATGTATATAACAAAACAGAAACAGACTCACAGATATAAAGAACAAACTAGTGGTTATCAGTGGAGAGCAGGATTTGGGGAGGGACAAGATAGGGGTATGTGATTAAGAGATACAAATTACTATGTATAAAATAGATAAGCAACAAGGATACATTTTATAGCATAGGGAAATTTAGCCATTGTTTTGTAATAACATTAAGGAGTATAATCTTTAAAAATAATGAAACTAATATAATATTGGAAATCAACTATATTTCAGTTAAAAATTAGAATATATTAGGCAATCAATGATAGGTATCCATTTTTATTATAATTATTTTGATACCAAATATCATTTTCATTAATCCCTTTATACAACTTTCTATTTGATTTTTATTGAGTTCTAGTGACAGTTTCATAATGGAGTATATAAATTAATTTAAAATATACTTAAAGTCAAAATATACTCCTTTACTTATTTTCTTTTAGCACTTTCACATGGCTTGGAAACAGGAATCAGAATTTACACAGAGGGATAAAGCTGCTATAGTCATTCAGAAGGCCTGGAAAAGTTTTCTTGTGAGTTTCCTTTGGGTTTTTTTTTTTTTGCAACTTTATTGAGATATAATTTGTATATCATATGGTTCACCTGTTTAAAGTATACAATTCATTAGTTTTTAGTATATTAAACAGTTGTATACCATTCTTTGCTTTATAAGTAAACATTTTTAAAGTTTCAAAAAGTTAACATTAAGTAATTCTCTCAGTAGCCTCACAAAGATGTACTGAGTACCGAGTCTGAGCTCGGCACTTTGATAACGGCTGCTGTCAGCGAAAGTGTCACTAACAGGCTCATTTGGCTTTCACCTCTGAAAACTTTACTTCTTGACTCTGGAATCAGATTGTGAGCAAGTTTTGGGGATATATTGACTCATTAAATATTGATTGAATGTCTACTCTTGAGGACTTAAAGCATAGTTGGATTAATATCGTAGTTTCTCATTGTGCTTTAGTATGAGGAGAACTGGTCTCCTTATCCAATAAGGAATATCCAAGTTGATATCCTGGGTTAGGTGAGAGCCAAGAGCTAAAACTCACTCTTGTCTCTAGGATAGTATCAGCACTCTGTTCCTGATAGTTTTGTATGAAGTGGTGTGGCTCTGTTTCTAGTACACAAAAATACCTTTAAGTCAGTTAATCACATCTTGCAAAATAGCTTCTGTTATTTGCCTCTGTTGCCTCTGTTAACGCCATAAAACCTATGCTGGGGCATAACTATTGATTTCCAACGCTAAAAAATATTTCCTTTAAAATGCATCATCTTACTCCTCTTCCTTTTGGGTCATACTCTACCTATGATATATTGTAATATAAATACTAGATATAAGATTAGGCACATATTAATTTCCTATTGCTGCTATAAAAATTACCAAAATCTTAGTAACTTTAAACACCAAAAATTTATTATCTTATAATTCTGGAGGTCAAAATCTGAAATGGATCTCACTGCACTAAAATCAAGATGTCAACAGAGCTGTGCTCTTTCTGGAGGCTCTAGGGAAGAATTTGTTTTCATGACTTTTCCAGCTGTTAGTGGCTGCCCACATTCCTTGGCTCGTGGCCTCCTTCCATCTTCAAAGCCAGTAATGACCTACTGACTCTTTCTCACATCATATCACTCTAGTGCTGACTCTTCTCTCCCCTCTTTCACTTAAACGGGCCCTTTTTCCTCTTGTAAGGGAACCCCCTTTTGAGGGGGCTGTTAGTTCATTGGCATGAGGAACCCAAAATGGCCAGGTGACAGTAGCAGCTTCGATTTTAGTGGAATTATTGGTGTTTACCTTGGTGGAAACATGTCCTCCTATGGGTGCTAAGACCTTTATATCCACAGAACCCAATGGTACAAGGACAGGAAGCAAACTTTTCAGTAGTGGGTTATTAGAATATTGAGAGAGCGCCACTTTCACTTCCACCATTTAATTTTCAGACTCATAAATGCTGGCGGTGGGAGAAATACCGTCTTTTGTTGGTTATTGACTCAGAGCATATTTTATAACATGAAGGAAATCACCCTAGTCTGAAAAGTCTTGTCACTGGAACTCTAACTGTAACTGAGTCTTCAAAATGCCATTCCACCATTCTACCAGGCCAGGTACTTTACAGTCATAGGGAACAAGGCAAAGTGAGTTTCATGAGCATAGACCCACTCATGTGCTACCTTTGCTGTGAAGCAAGTTCTCTGGTCAGAAGCAGTGTTATGTGGAATACAATGACAAGTGAACAGAACATTTTGAAAGTACACAGACGGTGGTGTTTGTAGGAATATTGTGCGCCCAGGAGGATAAAGTATCAGTTACGATGACAATCAAGTGTTGTCCCTTCCAAAATGGAAGCGTTCCAACTAATCATTGTGCCACAGGAAGCTGGCTAATTCCCTCGAGGAATGGTACCATATCAGGGGCTCAGTGTTGGTTTCTGCTTTGGCAAAGTGGGCACTCAGCCAGATATGGTGAGTAAAAGTCCATGTTGCTGAGCCCGTGAGTAACCTCCGTTCCTGCTGCCATGGCCGCTTTGCTCATGAGCCCACTGGGCAAGGGGAGCAGTGGCTAGGAAAAAAGACTGACTGATTTTTAAAGAATAAGTCATCTTGCCCACTTGATTATTAATATTCTGCTCTACTGAGATTGTTCT